TTGTTTTCTTATTTTTGAAATAGGCAAAAATTATTCTCTTGAATAGGTAATCTTCCCTAAATAATAAACGAAACGAAACAAAACGAAACGAAAGGAAATGAAATTTGTTTTATATATGATTTAGGAAAATTACAGCAACCCCACTATTATAGTATCTCATGTGCAAACCAAGTGACTTTTTAAGGTCATGTATGCTATTAATCTACGAATTTGGGATTCATTTGCCGAGAAAAATGAATAGAGAGCGTGACACTTTGTAAAAAAATTTTTAGCCCGATCTTGAATAAATTTCCTAAATCATAACCACGGTCCAAACTTCAATCATCGCCATCAGCAACGAAAGGGACGACTCCTTCCACCTTCAATTACTTCTAATTTTCCTTCCGAAATTTTTGTTTCTCTACCTACAATCATAATTTTGGATGTCCTATTTGCTTAGGAAAATAGTAGTTTAGTTTTTATTCGATCTATTTCTCTTTTGCAATTTTGTGTGAATCATCAAAGGTCATCTATCGAGGTCTAAAGTGAAATTTTGGAAATCATTGAGATCTTAGCTGAAAGTAGCATATTGAGAGCTTGTTTGAGCTCCATTTTTAGCCAAAAATGCATTTTGAAATAGTGTTTTGATGGAGAATGTGTGGTTAAAAAATAAGGAAATTTTTTTTGATTTATATGTAATATTATTTTATTGAAAAATGTGGTTGAAGATAAGAGAGAGAGAGAGAGAGAGAGAAAAATGAGAACAAACACGCTCTTTACTCAGGTGTCAAATTGATGATATGGCATATAAGGGAGTAGATGGAAAATTATAAATGTGGACACAAGTGTAAAACTTTCCCATTAAAAGAGAATAAATAAGAAACAGCAATGTTATACTAAGTGAAGACTTGTGAATGCTCTGTAAATGATTTATATGAATATGAATATAGCAGTGACATGAAACAAAATGGCAAAATCTATAATATTACATAGCCAGTCCACCAAGTGTAATGTATGTGAAATATAAAGAAAAGGAAAATTAGCACTGGTAAAGAGAGAACAATACCAGTATAATCACCAGGGCCTTTTCAGTCAACAGCATCATAAAGAACTGGATTGGCTTCTAATATTTCCGCGAATTTCTCGAGGATTTCCTTCAAGAGAACCATGAATTCATCCTTCTCTGCTTCTGAGTCTCTTTTCTCGCTCTCTATCTCAGTGAATACTTCATCAAAGATAATCGCTGTTTCATCTACTTTTGAAGGCGGTAAGCCCAAATCCTTCCCACTTTTCTCCAGGAAAACACGAATTGTTGATGTGCTTTTTTCTTCCTTCTCGCTGTCATTTTTTTCCAGCAATATTTTCTTTAAAACGCCATCCAGTTGGTTTTCATCGGCCAGAAGCTGCATCATCCAATATAATAACTGAATTATTCACACTGTAAATAAAGTAAAATACTGACAGCCACTAGACCTAGATTCTCATATTAACAAGTCTGAATTCGTGCCAACGGAATAGGCAAAGTATCAAGTAGAATTATTTGTCCTCTTTAAACATTAAAATCATGGCTGCAATATCCTTTTTAGTTAATTAATTAAACATGTTACACAATATTATTAAAATAACTTCCTTCAAAAGGTCAAGCACCTGCTTAACGAAACCAACCAAAGATAGAGAAAACTATGTCCTAGCGGATAGGATACACTACTGAGTTCATAATAAACAACACAAAAAGGCAACAAGTGATGTAAACTTCCTATTGTGAAAAAGATTATATTCCTTATTTGTTAAATCTTCATAACAAATAAATTACCAGTATTAATATGAAAAGTAAGACATTCCTTTCTCAGTGGAATTGGAATGTCTCGCTAGTGATTAAGTTTAAAAATTTCTAAGAATACTGTAAGAAAAATAAATTGCCTTTAAATTGAATGGTGTAGCACACATCAAATAATACATCTATAGAAATTTACTTGTAAAATCGGCAAAAGAACGTGAACTTGTGAAGTACGAACAGAACACCAAAACTTGCACACTAAATATCAAACGATGAACAAGTAAGATAGCCAAGAACAGTTTACTAGAAAGGCACGTGGTTAATATGTCTTAACTGAAGAAAAATCAAAGGTGATAAACTACCTTTCTAAGCTTAGAACCATTCACGATTTTGATGTTCTGTACCATCACAATATGCTTCTTAGCAAGAGCTTCTGCTAGTTCTTGTAGAACAGACTGCAGTAACTGAGCAAATTGTGCCTGCCCCAGTTCTTCTTTTCCTTCAGCTCCGTGCCTCTTTAAGATATCGCTTAGTTGAGGAAACTCTGTTCAACAACATAATTACCTCAGAATCAATGCCATATAGTTATATTAACTTTAAAATAAACAGTAATGCATGTTTTTTCACTTCAGATGCGTGGTGGGCAGGGTCAGACATGACCCTGGGTATTATACACAGTGCAAGTCAGTTGCTTATACAATCGAAGTTTGATGAATTAATATTAATATATATTGTAATAAACGAATACATCAATAATGCATACAGTTAAATTTTCCCATCAGAAAAAGAACAAAGCATTGAGAGTCCACGATCGACGCTAATGAGCAGTGGAACAACTAAAGCAGTGGGAGTTCCAGAGCAGACTTAAGGATTTAGTGAGTTAATTAAGACATAATATTTTATTGCAATTTATATGTTCAAGTAAATATATGCTTGCTATAGGCATTTGAAAGTAATAAAACACCGAGAAGCCTGTAATGAAAACATGTCAGATGTTCCACATCTCATATTTGGGAGAGAGAGGGCATGCCTGACAAAGGAGGAATTCCCATTTCTAAACCCATATGAATTAGAGCATTCTGAATCTCATCCTTACTAATCTTTCCTCTATCTTCTGTGTCTAAATCAGTGAAAAGATTCTCAGATAGCATTGCAAAATCATCTTCATCTTCCAAAAACATTCGAAGAGTTCTTCCATCCAAAATTGCCACAACAATGGGATCGTCTGAATGCAAAACAGGAAAAGCACACAGTATATCAAAATCCAAGCACAGAAAAGTATGGGAAGAGGCGTTCATTCACGGCAAAATAATTATAATTCAAAAGATCAAATGAAGGTCATCCAACAAAAGATTTACAAATAGCTCAAAGAAACAAGTGGAGTGCTTAGGCCAAACTTCTACCAAACAACAAAATAATAATAATAATGACATTATTAGCAACATATATTTTTCCGGGTGTATTTAAATAAATATATAAATCTATTTACAATGTTATAATAAATATTTAACTTGAAGAGAGAAGGAAGCAATGGAGATGAGACTAGAAATCGCAGCAGTTACAAAGAGTGATTGATACCTCATCACCAACACATTCCAAGGTCAAAGCTATGTTCTTTAAATGTAGTTTATGGTATGGAAATGCACAAAAACTTTAGTGTCCATCTACTTAAACTGATTCTCTTGGAAAGGCCTAGACTGTGAGCGCTATAAATTGCACATATCCCCTCTTTGTCCAGGATAAATGTGTTCAATATGTCATTTTCCTATAACTTGCCGCTTCAAGAGGGACCTTTATGTATTGTGGAATTACAGCGTAAAATCTGGCGAGAATACTTGTCAACATATTAAGAATGAAAAAATTACCTTGGAGACGTTAATATCTCAATTGAGTATAACCTGCAATCTCATTTTTCTTCGATTTGCTGCTTAAACTTGTTAGACGGTGTGAAAGCAAACAGAAGTAGAACCAAGAAAACAAAAAGATGCCACTGTTTCACTGATGCCCGTGTTCATTTTTTCATGCACAATAAAGGGGCAAGGGAAACCTGAACCATATCAAAACTGGTGGGATTACTCTGAAACAAGTTGAAGTTAGGGGGGTAAAGTTTCTCAGTGGAGCTGAAGTGGTTTTCAATAAATAAGTCTTACAATGATAAAGTCAGGGGTCTGTTAGTGCCAATTAAGAGGACAAATTGATGCAAAAAAGGGGTTTTAACAGACCAAGTGATGTGGTCCTGAGACAAAGGCACACATGAGAAAGGAGTTTATGAATTTTAATTAGGATTTCAACCGAAAATGGACAAAAAGAAGAGATTGGTGCAAGTATAAAGCATGTTTCCAATTCCAAGGTGCAAGGATGATTTTCATGGTGCAAAGATGAAGTATATTTTCCTTTCCAAGTACTGATTAATGTACATTGATTCATAATTTATGTTGCCTTAATTATGATTACCTTATCTAGGTGATACTGTGATAGGGGGTACATCATGCCTTATTTAGCCTTTTGATCTTTCTATAAAACTCAAGCTATTAAGTATGAACAGATGATATTGTTATTCAATAAAAAAATTATAAAAAAAAATCAGCTTCTATGTTGCCAGATTTTCTCTAATTCCTCGGTAGTCGTTAAAATCAATGAATTATTTGGTATTAAGTTGCGAATTAATGAAATCAATAAGTTTTTGGATTCTTCCGTGTTTCTTTGGCTCCGCACTCCATCTTACCAAGCATCTAATCAATCCCAAAACTGACACATTCAGTTTTCTTTAGAAGGAATGAGACCCAGTAACATCACACAACCAAACTCCCACAATTTGCGTTCCCAATCTCATCTTCCAGGTTCCCAATCTCAACTTCCAGGCATTGATCCTTGTAAGGAACGAAAAATGCAATCAAAGAAGGTTCCGCTGCATTGTTTCCTTCTGGTCTAATCAAGAAGAATGAATTCCATGAAATAAGTCTCATTAACTTAAAGCACTTGAACAAGTCAATCAACTTTCAAGTCTTCAACTATATATCAAATTCAGGATATAAAATTTCTTTCACGCCATATGTTCGAATATTGTTTAATGGAAATGACTAAAAAATAAACTAATTTCCGACCCAAGCTTTTTCCGCGTTATTCAACAACTCCTTTGGCAAAGTTGACTTGTTATCCGCATTCATGAGTATGAATATTCATGATTTGGATAAATTTCAACTTCCTTACGTACGATCCTACTTACTTTAGAGCAATCTATTAGTTATTGATATCAATATCAACAAGTTTTTAAGTGGCACAGAAAATAATTAATTAAGTAATGGGTCAAGATTCGAAGTCAACACAACCTTTGAGTTCATCGGCGATGGCGGATACATAAGTTTGGAGAATCGACGAGGCCTTGTTATAATCGAGCTCCGTCGTGCGAAAGGCAGAGCCATAGGAGACGCCAAGACGTTGGAAAGCGGCGGACTTGAGACTTTCCGGCAATACGAGGCCGTGAAGAGCGAGTGAGGCTTTCGACTCCGCCAGCTCCAGTACCTCCGCGCCGGTGATCACGCCGCTATCCTCTGCCAGCGGCAGCGACAAGTCCAGTGCTCTCAGCTGTGTTCCGTCCATGATCGTTAAACCTCCTTCCGACATTTTCAACTTTGAGAGAGAGAGAGAGAAAGAGAGAGAGCTGAATAGTTGAATGTAATGGAATAGGGAAGAACGTACTACGCGACGAAAAATAGAAGAAAAGGAAAACCGCGTAGCGCGTAATTGAAGTTTGGGACTAGCGCTGACTGGTGCGTGGGCCGTGGTTGAAATTTGGAAAATGAGATTTGACGTATTTGAACCCCACTTTTTTTTTTTTTTGTCTAAAAAGAATTTTGAAATAATATTTTGATGAAAATGTGTGATTAAAACATAAGAAAATATTTTAAATTTACGTATAATATTATTTTATAAAAAAAATGTGTAATAAAAATAAGACAGAAAAACTGTATTTTAAAAGTAATGGAGACCAAACATATCATCGATTTTTTTGCAACATGTGTTGGGCTGTGCTCCAAATAAGTCTACTGTCTATTGCACTAAGGGTGACTGAGGGATCGAATCAATCTCAGGTTCAAGTCGTCCGACTCAATTCATGGACAACTCGACCTCATTTTGAGATAGATTACGAATCGAGTCGAGCTTACATTTTTCCACAAGTCGGTTCGTTTAAGCTCGTAAGCACAAGCCCATGCGCCGGCTCGTTTGAGCTCCTGACAACAAGCCAACTAATCAGCTCATTTTCCGCTTGTTTTTAGACTAAGGGTCTGTATTAATTTCTTTAAAAATTGATTATT